TTTTTTTTTCAATTTAGAAGTGAAACGTTCATCTTCAGGAAGATTTGGTGGAATTGTTGCAAGATTGTCTATAACGTTGAAAAATTCAATATCTTCTTCTTTGTTAACATAATCCGAATTGTGTGATATGTTGATGAATAAAATGAATTCTAATATTGTCTAATAATCACGTAACGTTCGAAGCTAGTATCATTCACAAAGTATCATTTTTTTCAAATGTAACTTTGATAGTAAGTAATTATTTCCGTATGCCTCGATACTAACAAATTCTGAATCAAAAATTCCTGGAGCTTTTATGTTTTGCTGTCTATTTTCATTAATTGACGTGCATAGATTGTTATAATAAAATTGTTTAGAATGTCTAAATACCAAGTGTATTTTCTAAAAAATACTGAATTTTAGGATATAAACTTGTGTGTATCGTGAAAAAAATCATAAGAATATTCTGATCAATTCGTTAACAATAAATTGATAGTAAAATTTCGATATTTTTATAAATCAAAATTAATTTAAAATTAATAAAATCTTAATGTTTTTATAAGTCGAAATTAATAATAAAATTATCGATATTTTTATCAGACCTATTCTTATCATTTAACACACATGGTTAGCAAATTTCTTTTTCTTTAATATGATAATTGATAAATTCGAAGAAACGACATATCACATGCATCAACCTAATATTGAAACAATATAGTAAAGAGAACGACGAAAAAATTTCTAGCCTTTCTCATTAAAATTTTTCATTCTACTTTGTTCGTAATCACTGCTTAATCTCATATATGTACTATTTAATCGTGTTACATTCAAACTGAAGAAGAATGACAGTTACCGCTAAAAAATAAATTATAAAATATTACAATGAAAAAAAATTTTTCGAAGACACGATGAAATTTAAAATGTCTAGAATCTAAAACGAAATGCAAAATCTGGATGGGAACATTACTTTTATTCAGAAAGATCTGTCTTTTACGTCCAGCAATTTTTGAACGCTACCAAGGCTAGTAGCTTAAGTAACTCGATTTTTCTCGTACCCTCGGGAATTATGAATCAGTTCGCGTCGAATGTGAAATTTCACGGCGAGCCTACATTTCGCGAATAATTCAACGATTCGGGGGGAAGGGCAAAATGAGATCCGGAGAAGAGGAGAATTTCGGCTTGAAATGCAGTTTACGTTTTATTGGCCTTGTTGCCGAGCATTTCTTCTTCTTCTGCTTCTTCTGTCCTCTCTTGAAGAATATTGATTCGGAAGGCTGGCTTTTTCCCTGGGAAAAGGCATTAACGCGCGCAATTGCACACGCTCGGTGTATTTAATGGTGTGTAAAAACTTGGCCTTGATGAGAAACGAAATGCGTCTACCTGCGTTTATTTCTTCCTACGTGGAAACCTTGTATTGCAAAGCCTGGATTTTTGTTATAAATCCTAAATATCGTTGATCATCTGGAGGAACGCGTTCATCGTGTTTTTCCAAACACAGGCGGAGAAACCGTCTGCGTTTCATTTATCAAACACGACACCACGAGAAAACTGTG